TGTTTTTCTGGCTATTTGCAGTAATGAGTTGGAGATCTCTACACGTGATAAAGTTCACTTCTCTATCGTGTGAGTAAGTAGTGCCATAAATTTTTTAATTTTTTTTTTTTTTTAATTTATAAAAATTAGAATTTTCATCAGGGACAAGTAAGTATCCAGAGAGTGCAATTATCACTACAACTGACTGAATGCTTTATCTATATTGTTTGTGGATTAGGAAACTGAATTAACTACTGGCTTGCTCTGATCTAGTCTGGATTTTCTTCTCCTGGAGAAAAGGAAACATTTTTTTTTTCTGAAAACCACCGTACAAGCAAAAATATTTTTCAGGTCACTTTAGAGCTTTGTCCTATTATTAACAGAATTATGAAGAAAAGGTAATACATATAGGACAAGGAGCCAAAGTTAGAAGACCAGAGGTAAAGCTTTGGTGGAGATGGTAACAGATCTGTCATTCTTGGCTCTGCTGGGTGATTTCATTACTGAGAAATTAACACCTCCTGAAGTTTAGCCTGAAAATACATGTAAAAAAAACCCCTAAATATACTGCGGCCTCAGTGTGAGTTTTGGCATTATGAGTTCTGTTACTGAATAATTTTTTAAAATAATATATTTTATTTTTTATTAGATCTTCAGAATTTCAGACCATGAGACATTCCACTCAAACCAATGGAAAATATGTCACCAGCTGGCTCTTTGTATTTGTTATACCCCAGTTAAAAATGCTATTCTCTTCAATGACACAATGCCACAAAACATGAAAGAGTTTCCTTCCCCAGATTCTTGGTGCAAGCTGCAAGAATATAATTAGATCTTGTTCATGTAAGCTCGAAGATGAAAAATTTTGTGTTCAGAGCTTTGTTGTTTTTAAGAGAGGTACAAGTCATGAAGTGTGTCCTTCAGAACTTGAAAATTGTCTAGAAAATGGTTAAGAATACCAGTCAAACCTCCTAGTTGTTCAAATGTCTCCATTTGTCTCATCATTACCCTGTTTGTATGATTCTGCTTATAGGCTTGTTAAAACTGATTCAGGTGAAGACTGCTTCCACAAGTAGTCGGAATTCCTGCCTGAATCTGATCACTCCAAAATTGCTTGAGAAGAATTAGCAGTCAGGAATAACACATCTAATTTTTTTGCTGGCATTATGCAAGATGAGTGGCAAGATATTTGCAAGATATCAAGAAGGGTGGAGTGACAGGGTGGGAATAAATAAAAAAGAATGAACCTTTCATGACGCTTCCCTGTAAGATTAAAATACAGAATATTTGTTGTACTAGGCTATTAGCAAAATTAATTGTATGATTTTACTGATCCCTTAGGAAGAGTTTATTACCATCACTCTTTAATAGAGATACCAGTGATGGATGAAAAAGTTAGTGATGGATAAAAAGATAAAATTACTCTTCTTTTATGTGAACTTGGTGTTTTGTCACATTGGTTGTTGGAAATGATGGTTTATATGTTAGTTATAGCAATAGTTCTGATTCAGATTTTCATAAGCAATTAAACCTGAGATATGGTGAATCAAAACCACTTCAGTTTAGATTCACAAAGGGCTAGATGTGACCTTATCATGAAGAAAAAATTCAATAGCATTCAGTTTCATATACCCTCTTTTCCCTCCAAGGCTGAGTCCTCCCATCCTTCCATAGAGTCAGTGTATTTGTAGGTGTGGTAAAATTCTTAAGAGTGGGACCATATTCAGTTTTATTTCAAATTAGGAAGTGTTAATTGTGAACCTGAAAAATAATCTTTGTATACCAGTAAGATTCCATGACATATTTCCATAATAAACCTGAAGACAGCAGCAGGTTGTCCTGCTGCTTTTCAGCTTATCCTCTCTGATAGCACCTGTACAGAACACAACAGTTTTAAATTCTAATTCAGTCCATGCTTTGCTGATGAAGGAAGCTGGAAGAAAGAGAAAGGATTTGGCAAATGTGAATTTTCTTGTGGATTTCAGGGTCCAACCCATAAGGGATTTTCTTCAGTAAATCCAAGGGACAGCTGCCTATAGAAACCCTGATCTGACTCAGGAGCTCTTCTGACATTACTGGTATGCGCTGACAGCTCTCTGGCTGTGATCCATTTTACTCAAACCTTCTTTCCCTGAATGTGCATCCAACACCAGGACTTGCTCCATTCAGCCTTTGCTAAATATATTAAAATTGTTAAATTCTGTTCACCAAAGGCACTCTGGGAAGGGCTCAGGTCGGGGAGAGCTCGTTGGGAGTCAGTTGAATGTCGGTTGAGTGCCCGTTGTCAGCGAGGCCGTGATTGGTTGGGGAGATGTGAGAGCCATAGGAACAGAGAGCTGATTGGATGCAGGGACACGTGACCAACCACACTGCAGCTGCAGCAGCCAATGAGTGCTTTTCTTGGGGAGGTTTCAGTGAAGTTCTGTTAAGGTTCGGTTAAGTTCTGTTTGGTTTCAAGTATAGAAAAGACCTGGTTTGCTACAGTAAATCTTGGGATGTATGAGGAGGTCTGTGTGCCTTTGTTCCCCATTGCTATGCTTGCTCCATTCAGTCTGCAGCAGTTCCACAGTAAAGATGTTGTTAAATTGGTCACACCTCTTGACAACACTTCCACGTTAACGTTTTTATATGTTCAAATATATTTGTCAGCTTCCTAAGGAGTGCAATGTCCATAACAAAGGGGACAAGACATTCATGAAAAAAATGAGAGACCTTGAACTGCAGTGGCATGAACATCTCTGGTGCAATACCAGTGTCATGGCATGGGCCCAAAAAACACACTAGTATTGATACCAACAGGCTTAGGAAACACACAGAGCATGGTGAGGCATTCCCAAAGAAGGAAAACTGACAGTGCAAAGGAGAATTAATACCAACCAGGTGGACCTCCTTAGTTACTTCATTAGGGCTGCCTCCTGTTTTCAAGGCCTAAAAGAACAGCTTGGCAACAGAAAAACATCCAGATTGTTTACCTAAGCTTGCTCTTACTGATCATTGCTTTCAATTTCCATCTTAGTGTTACTGCATACTACCCAACAGTTAAAATCGGCACCTGAGTTACACAATAGTGTTTCAGTGGCAACACTGAATGTGTGTGTTCCAGCCTTCCCCTCCCTCAGCATGCCCCTCACACACACAGCATGTTTGCACTTGCATCAGAACTCACATCCAGACCCGCAGTTTAACCACCTGCAATAATTCTGGCCCTGGCAAATCTAGCCCTGGATGGATTGTACAGCAAGAAGCCATGGAGGCCGTGCTTCTCCCCAACTTGAAGCATTGCTCCAGAGGCCACACAGCTGTGTAGCCAGGCTGTAAGGCTCAGTGACACACTGACTGAGTGCCTGCCACCGAGAGCACATGTCCTTGTGGAGGGGCTGATGAGCACTGGAGCTGGGGCAAGGGAAAGGGAAGTCTCTGCACCTGGGGGCAGAGGAGAGGGAAAAACAGTGGGTGGGTGTGTTTGGGGGGAGGCGAGCATGGAGGGCCTTCTCCTCCGTCCACAAGCAAGGCCAAAGGGGCTGTGGTGGGGGCAGTGCCTGCCCAGCAAAGAAGGCAAAAGGCAGTGACCTGAGTGAACACCGTTCCCTTTCAGTGGAACAGCAAGTTCTGCTGTTGGCAGTGATCCTCCTTTGGGAGGTTCCTGCTTGTTCTCTCCACAGGGAACTACTTGTTCCTGTCCCCACAGCAGGCTTCTCTCTCTGACATAGGCCACAGCAGCTTTCTTTTCCATGCTCTGAATGAGGAGGACTTTCATAATCACAGTGGGAGGGCTGAGTAATTAATATTTTATCTATTTTGACCATCATAACTTCTGGTTGAATTCAAGAGGCAAAATATATAGTCCTGCTTTAAAGTGCTACAGAAGTGGAATACCAAGACCTGACTGCTGCACACAATCACTGTTTGAGTCACTTAATAATTTTTTCAGGTAGCTGCACTGGATGGACATTCTTTAAGAAATGGTGGGTTAAATAAAAAGGACACATTTCAGGCAATTTGAGAAACTTTTCTCCTTTTATTTTTTCTTCACACACATATATATGTATATATTACTGAAAGGCAACTGTTGCCCTGAAAACTCAGCTTCTGAGCTTGCTGGCATGGTTTTCTGAAGACTTTCCCAGGACAGTAACTGTAAACATAGAGATGTGTACATTCTTTCTGATACACATCTTTTAATGGACATCTTTCAAGGCCAGTGAGGTTGGGAAGGTGTTATCCTGACTATCCAGTCCCTGGCCATGGTCAGAAACCTTTAAGTCCTGGGAGAAGAAATAAACTCTCTCTTCCTTTCAGCACACCTCGAGCTGTGTTCGTGTGACCTATTCATCTCCAGCAGCAACAGGGCAACCATACCAGGGAGGTTCAATTGCCTAAACTAACTGTAACTGGAACATCATTTTATACTAACAATCCTAAAAGACCTCTTGAGGCAATGCTAATGAACACAATTCCTACTATGAAAACTTGGACTACCTGTTCTCCTATGGTAAAGTGAGGTAAAACTATTATCTACTCTGAGGTAAAAATATTATCTATTTCCATATACTGAGATAAACTACATTTTTACAAAAGCATTAAAAATACAGGTTACTAAATAAATACAATAATTCCCTAACAGGCTATGTTTTTCAGTCTTTGAGGTGTGCCAAGCAACCTCTGTCGGGTTCAGTGTCTTCCATGAGGACGTGTAGGTGGAGCCAGTTCCTGCCTTGTAGACATAAGCAACATCACAACAGCATCATTGT